TATCACAGTTCTCTGAGGCAGATGCAATTATTAGCTCCACCTTGCTAAAGAGGAAGGTGAGGCAGCAAGGGATTAATTAAACTGCCCAAGCTCCTGTAACTCTCCAAGGCAAAATTTCAAATCCACCACAGGCAGCCTGATAATACATCATTCCTTACTCCAGACTTGCCCTGTCTTACACCGTAGTCATTGGCCACATGTACTAGTGAGCATTGGAATGTGGCTTTTCTTTATAGTAGTTGATAGTATAGTAAACAGATTAATCCTATTTCCTCATGATTACATGAACTTTATAAGATCTCAGGTTTTACAGAAATGTTCCATCTTAACATAAAATTATATAGTTCATAATTTAATGTTAAACACATTGCTTTGCTTACCTATAACCCTGATCAATGATCAATCTGTAAAGAAACACCACTAACGGTATAGATGGCAGTTTTTTTAAAATGTGGGTCTTGGGGATTGCTCGGGTCCTCATACTTGTCAATGGACACTACCCACCAAGCTGTCTCCTCAGTCCCCTTTAATCTATCTATAGTCTAATGACTGAGAAAATATTCCCATGATAGCAGGAGCTACCCAACTAATTCTTCTTTTCCTTCAGTTGAAAACAGTTTTGTAGCCAGACATTGAAAAGTGGGTAAACCTTTTTTGAAACAAATAATGTATTTCTCAGAGCCTTTCTCTTGGGGCATGTTTTGAATTGAAGCATGAAGAGATACTGGGCCTTTGTAGGAGCAGGAAATCCAAATAACTACCGTCTTCCGCCTGATTATATGAGTCATTTGTGAATTGAGTCAGACTCTTTTTATACTAATATAAAGGAAAAATAAAATCCTTTTTATAGTGTTGTGGGTTCAACAGAGATTATGTGCTTGAACTAAGGTCTTTGGAAACTTTCTGTTGTATCTAGTGTCAAGCACGGAAAAGATGCTACTTTCTTACTTACTGAATGAATGAATGAATGGCTTCCTAGAGGGCTTTTATTCTGCAAGGTTTTTTTGATGTTCTGGTAATTTGATATTTACATAATTTTATAGCAAATTTAAATGTGAACCGTGAACTTAAATTTCTTAAGAGACAAAGCATATTCTAAGACTGTTTGTTTTTGAAATATGACCTTAT